TAACAAATAAAAGTACCATTAAACACTTAAAACAACATAAAAAGTAAAAAAGTAAAAACATAAATTGTTTATTTGTTGTTATAATTGCAAAATTATGGTTTAAAACTGTCATATTTTTGTGTTTCTCATGTTGGCAGTACGAAATTTGAATTGTGCTTAACGACTAAAAAATTTTTACTCCCGCTATTAGAGTGTGCGCGTATAGCTTGACCAATGCAAGAAACGTAAACTTTCTGCCGTGAAATCGGGGACGAAACAACGTATTTTGAGTCGAGGTAGTAAGAAAATAATTTTTTTATTTAATTTTAATTATTATACCGGGTGATTTTCTTTATACGCTGCTGGTTAAATTTAATAATAAAATAAGATAAGATAAGAAGGTAGGTTCTAAAAACACATGTAAATATTCAATTAATCAAATTTGGCAATATGTATTGATTATAATACAACAATAAGAAAGCTAATGAAAATAATAATAATAATGATAATAACGATAATAATGCTAATAATGATATTAAAAATAGGTATTTTAGGTACCTATATTTTATGTACTTAACACATACATAAACTATAGGTACCTAAAATACCTATTTTATTAAAAATATCACCTAATTTAGGAACCTTTTATCACTTTTTGACCTAAAAATCCGGGCATTAGATATTAATCATACTAAATAAATAAATTTTTACTCCCGCTATTAGAGTGTGCGCGTATAGCTTGACCAATGCAAGAAACGTAAACTTTCTGCCGTGAAATCGGGGACGAAACAACGTATTTTGAGTCGAGGTAGTAAGAAAATAATTTTTTTATTTAATTTTAATTATTATACCGGGTGATTTTCTTTATACGCTGCTGGTTAAATTTAATAATAAAATAAGATAAGATAAGAAGGTAGGTTCTAAAAACACATGTAAATATTCAATTAATCAAATTTGGCAATATGTATTGATTATAATACAACAATAAGAAAGCTAATGAAAATAATAATAATAATGATAATAACGATAATAATGATATTAAAAATAGGTATTTTAGGTACCTATATTTTATGTACTTAACACATACATAAACTATAGGTACCTAAAATACCTATTTTATTAAAAATATCACCTAATTTAGGAACCTTTTATCACTTTTTGACCTAAAAATCCGGGCATTAGATATTAATCATACTAAATAAATAAACGGAAATGAAAATTGATATTAAAAATACTTACCATTAAAATTATTAACTACATGGTCCACAGACAGTGTAAGGTTCTTTATAATCTTGAGATATTTCGCAAATCTTTTTATTAACTTAATATTTATATTTTGTATAATACAATAAATATTACTATACGTAAATCACATCCATACAACCATATTAAAAATTACAATCTACTAATATTTTTACAGTAATATTTACCGAAAATGTATACTAAAAAAATAATATATTGTGTTAAATATTTAACATTTCAATTTTACTGACGAATATTTAAAAGTATAACCCTCAAAATTTGATAAAGTAGATTTTCCTTTTTTTTTACTATCTGAAGCTCCGTTCAGGAGGGAAAGTGTGATTTTGGACCAAATGGTAAAGAGCATATCGGGACTGTATCAGAGCTGTGAAATACATATTCATTATTTATATGCCAACGCCGCGGCGTTGCCAAATTTAGGGTTTGAAGACGTAGTTTAACTATGCCGAATATATACAGCTAGCTGAGCCCGACCGAGGCGCCCTCGAACTGGCTGAACCGTGAACTAAATCTGTATATTTCATCATGTTTCACCGCCTTTTCAAGCCCACCTAAAAATTTACCCCCTGCACCCACCAACCCCCCTGATTTCCATACTATGATTAACTTTTTCAGTCCCGAAGCCGGGTCTGAAAACGTCAATTTTGGTCTGTATAGGCGGCGAAGTATGACGATTTGGGTCTGTATGTGCGGTCAAACAAATCTATATATATATATATATATATATATATATTAGGGTGTCCCAAAAAAAAAGAATTTTTTTTTCTTGTCTCTTGTAAAAATATGTTAGTTTATCATGCTGTAAGAGCCCTTTCAAAATATCAGCTCGATTAAAAATTTTGTAGGGGTCGCTCAAGATTTTTAAAAATTTTCAAAATCGTCAAAAATTGAATTTTTGTTTTATTTTAATTCTTTTTCTCGTCTCGATATTATTTTTTAGGTTGAAAATAATAAAAATTCTGTAAATTTCAAATCAATATTTTGATTTCTAAAGGTCGCTAAAAGTTCGTTGATATTTATATTCAGAGGTCGCTCGAAAACATTCAAAATACTCTACTTTGAAAGTTATAAAAATCTTGAGCGACCTTTAGAAATTAAAATATCGATTTGAAATTTTCAGAATCATTATTATTTTTAAATTTAAAAATAATATCGGAACGAGAAAAAAAATTAAAATTAAAAAAAATCCAATTTTTGACGATTTTGGTAATTTTTAAAAATCTTGAGCGACCCCTAAAAATTTTTTAATGGTGCTGATCTTTTGACAGGGCTCTTAAAACATGACAAACCAACATATTTTCACAAGAGACGAGAAGAAAAAAAATATTCTTTTTTTTTGGGACACCCTAATATATATATATATATATATATATATATATATATATATAGATATAATATATTCATAAACCTATTTATAGCAGTATTAATTTAACTAGCGTTTAAATCAATAATGAAATTACTTAATTTTATATTTGTTATTTTTTTATCGCAACTAGCTTAAATGATATAAACTTTATACTGTTGCAATTTAAATATGAGTTAAGAGTTAAGTAATTTATATTTTATGATATTCCCCTTTATGTCATAGGTTAAATTGTTACAATTAATAAATTTATTATATTTCGTAAACATTTAATTTTTAATTTAAGGAGAATATTCTAAAATATAAATTACGTATTACATACATAGATGTAGGTATATTTTAATTAAAATACGTATTATAAGAAAATCTATACCCCAGAGCCAATTGGTTTAAACTGCATCAAGTCCATTTTTTTTAATAAATTAAAATTTAAGTTAGGACTTAATTGGATAGAGTAGAAAGTTGTAAGCGAGAAACATGTAATGTGATTTAAAAAAAGTTTGACTTTGGGGACCACAAACTGTGGTACAATTTGTACCGTACAAAAATGTTTTAACATTGGTTAGTTACGCATGCGCTAACTATCGATTTACCATTGCCAGGGTGACTATTTATTTAGTAAATTGATATAAGAATTGGTGAGCGTATTTTTACGTTAAGCATTATTTTACCTGCTCTCTATGTTGTTATTAATAATATATGAATTTTACTTTTTTTAATTATATAAATTTGAGCTTTTTCCAACAATGTTTCTCCTAATGGGAGAATTAACTTAACCTCAGGAGAAATATTGTATGTATGTATAATATACATATACAATTGTATATTAGGGTGGTCCATTTTTTAAGAAATTTTGATTTTTTTTGCTCTCAGGGGTTCAAAGGGTTCGAAATAAATAAAAAAATATTTTCCAAGTTTAAAGTTCCTAACATAATATTAACCCGTGCCGCATTGCAGTTTATGTTTCCTATGTAAATAACATGGTGTTTTCAGCATTGAATAATTATTTATTTATTCCGGCCAAAGTAACTGTTCAAAAAATTTGAAACTTGTCAGAATTTAACCTTATAATAGCTATTCGTTAGAATTTTAACGGATTTTTAGCAATGATATTGTTAGAGTTTCATCTATATGATTTTTATTAAATTTAAGAAAATCATGTAGCTAGCTAAAACTTTAAAATTATAATAGCTTAAAATCTGTAAAAATTCTGAGAAATAGCCACTATTATAAGGTTCAATTTTGCCAGGTTTAAATTTTTTTTGACAGTTGCTTTGGCCGGAATAAATAATTAATTATTCAATGCTGAAAATCCCATGTTATTTACATAGGAAACTTAAACTGCAATGCGGCACGGGTTAATATTAAGTTAGGGACTTGAAACTTGGAAAATATTTTTTTTTATTTATTTCGAACCCTTTGAACCCCCTTGACCACCCTATTGTATATATGTATATATAAACTTTTTTATTTATTAGGATATAGAATCAGGAAAAAAATAAGGTTGTATAAAAATCCTTAAATTAAATCCTTAAATTAAATGTGTGTTTAAAAAAACTTTTAATATTTAATATCACAACAATTTTTATTGCAACATCTTGCAACAAGCAAGAAAAAATATATTTTTAATTAATTTTGAACCCCCAAAATTCCAAAAATGATGACTAAAAATGTTTAACTGTTCATTAGAAAATTACATTTTTCTTTGAATAAAATTTAAAAAATGTCCTTTTAACTCAATTCGGGGGCATACTGTACATACTTGAATATATTCTGAAAAGTCAAGAATAGTATATTCTGTAACAAGTTTGGAATACAGCATATTCCGCTCGAGTGAAGAGTTTGTCGCCACGAGTGTTTTTTCTGTCATCAGATGATAGAATATTTCATTCTTTAACACTTTACGGAATATTTGTCATTCCATAGATAAAAGTGATATTAGAAGGGTCAAATTCCGTAATAGGAGTAGAAAAAATAAATACCTATATGGATATATCTATTTTTTTGAGTTTTAAGATTGGGACTTCTCGCACATTAAGGGCCTGTTTGGATCGTTGTGAGAACAAAGCTAACCATGGAAATTATCTACCAGATAAATAACTGCAACTTTAACTGGACTTTGATAAACCGGCCCTAAGACAACTAAAAATGAATATTGTTCGTTCAGAATTATATAAACTTTTTTATATTTAAATGACCACGAGGGTCTACAATATTAAAATTATTATTTTTCTTATTTTAAAAAACAAATTTTAAAATTTAACCATGGCTGCAGCTGGCTAGGCTAGTAAATTCTATGTAAAAAAGTTATATCTAGACCGATTTATTATTTTAATAGCATTTATCAAACTTATTATTGGTACCTACTTAAGGTAGGCTACCTATATTAGTGGACGTTATACCCATACTGCCCTGCTAAGCCAAACGCCAGTATGTACATTATTAAGTAATAAAGGATAGAAGATCATTTTAAATGTTAATAAATAAAAATTATCTTTTGCTCTTTATTTCTTAATATTGTCGATATAGCACGGCAGCATATAGGTATAAAAGCAAAATTCCTGAACTTTAATTTCAGTGTAAGTAGTGATAAAGTGTCGACTACATCATGGCTAAAGATAATCTTACCGCTGTTTTATACGGCATCAATGATATTAGACTAGTAAGTTAATTATAAATAAAAATAAAACAATTAACCAGTTTTTTTGTAGGAACAAAGGCCAATCCCGGTGCCTAAAGAAAACCGTGAGTATTTAATATATTTTGTTCATTATTTACATACATTTTGCATGTCTTTTTTTCTAATCTAAATAAAGCCTTGAAATTGTTGAATATTTGTTATCACTAGAGAACGTACAATAACAACCGAGTTTATATAAAATAACGTAATAAATTAGATATATCGAAATTAAAACTGACGCAACTAACTAAAAAAATCCTTAAACATTCTTTTTTTAATTTTTTAAGAAAATAAAATGAATTAAAAAAATCTTAGGAATTGTATATACTTTAATAGTAAATAAGTTAGATTTTAAAATCTACAATTGTTCGATTGTGTATAAATTTTTATATTATTTTTTATATAACTTAAGATAAGAAAATATCTTAATTAAGCCACATGAATTCATGTGGGTTCCTAGAGATATTGTTTTACATTGTTTTCCACAAATTAAACATTCGTAGCTTTGCAGAATTAAATGATTTTTTCTAATTTGGGTGTGTTATACCTCCAACCTAAACAGTTAATTTCTAAGCCGCGCACGTGCTTTTGAAGGTTTGGTAGACCCAGGGCTGAATTATTTGGGCCTACGACAGTACCCAGGGCCTACATGACAAAGGCGAGCAGAATGGGCCTGCAATGTAGGAAGGTCAATTAATTTAAAAATAATATAAATATGAGTTGGATAAAAACATCAATAAAAAACTTCATCAAACCCATAAAAATAACAAACAAACCATTATTTTTATATTAATTTAACTATTTTAACTATGTACTGTACTTGTACTGCAGTAAAAGACCGAAGACCTTTAATAATTATTTTAATAGTTAATGTTTTTAAATAGGTAACTATTTTATTATAGTTACTTAAGAAAGATTTTTCCAGTTATATACCAGCTGAATGGAGTTTCTAAAAATTAATTAATAATCTTCAGTCCTTTACCAATTATAATTATAGGTAGTACAGTGGCGGACACGGAATTTTGAACGTTATAATTTGGTATACATGGACAACGATGTCCCAGTGGCGGCTCGTCAGGGTAGGCCTCTGAGGCCGCGCCTCACCCTTAAAATAAAGGAACGAACGACTTTTTGTATTTATATTTTTGCCTATTACAAGTGTATTTTTACAACAGTTCTACCCAATAAAAAGTAAAAAACCAATAAATCATATTAAGCGTAAATAAAAATCCAGGTGCAAAGCGCGTCAAGTTAACGTGCATCGTTGAGTCGCTTGGACAGAGGCGAAATTTTCACAGCCTCGGAAGCTCCCATTTACCTCTTGAAAGCGAAAATGACTCACCAACAAAAATATCGCCGTAAGTTCGCGAATAAACACCGTAGATGAGGCGAAATTTAGTTGGCTTGGTTTGTTCTGATTGGTGGTCCGTTTATACCAATGATACCAGCGGAGACAAAGAAGGTTGCCAGTCTTCTCTTAGCGTTTGTAGAGCACGTTATTGTTTTGATTCAGATTAAATTATTTAAAACTTTTGGCTGATCTTTTATAGTTTTTGTCTCGATTAGTAAAATTTCTTATTTAATTATTGTAGGGAACACACTAAGGTAGATTTAGCAGTTTTTATTAAGCAAATTTTATATTTTGAAATAATAGATTGCATAATTCTTCAATTAGAGACGCGGTTTGAAAATTTAGAATTACTTTTAAATCTCACTGCAGACCCACAATTTTACGACCAAATAATAGATAAATTTTCAATCTTAAAAGATAGACGTATAGTATTTTATATTTTTTAATACTTAGGTAGGGGTCGACTTTTTAGTTTTATTTTTTGATTAATTTATTTATTTTTAACTTTTTTAAGACTATATTTTAAGTTTAAGATTAAAACTAGTCTTTAATGTGATATTTTGTTTGTTTTGTTTTTTAGAGTTTATTTTTTGGTTTAGTAGTGCTATCGGCTCCATTTTAAAAAAGGTCAACGCGTCGCAGAATAATACCTCCCGGGTGACGTGGAAATTTATTCGTATTTAGACAAAATTAACCTTATGTAGCCTCACCCTCCTGTACACCCACGAGCCGCCACTGCGATGTCCATGTATAAATATGTAAATAGCAAAGATACAATATTGAGCATTTTAACTTTCGCTGTCAAAATGACAATATATATATTATTTGATTTTGACTATTAGTCTTGTCAATGACAAATTTGAGTTACTTAGTAATAAATTATTTTTTAACGAATTGTGCATTTTTAGTACCTATATTTAACAGATTTATGTTATAATTTGTCATGTTCGGTAGGACCTTACTAAAGACCTTCTCTAGTGCAGGCTAATTTCAAATTAGTTATTTGTTTATACAGGGATAAAGGCTAGTGCCGCGTAACTGTCAAACTAGTCCTTTTTTTGATACGAAAGCGCTAATTCGGCCCTAGGTAAAACAAATTGAAAAATGAATTTATGGTAAAACCTAACTCATCAACCCAAACCTATAAATTATTTGTTTTTCTATAAAGTAATGTGGGTATACAATTTTTAAATAATCATGATCTCTCAAATTTGGTATATTCATGGCGAGCCATTTTCTGGATAATATGATAAACCGGGAAATCTCAGGGAAGCCGTTCATATGAAACCAAATATTTGGTTTCTGGAACTTCTGGAACGGGTATGATTCGTTATGTAAGGATCGAAACTAAATTAAATCGAAACATGGGGCCCAGAAAATGATAACAAAACGTAATATTAAGTATTATTTTTCAATGTTTCGTTATATATAACTACTATAGCTACTCGTTTTTAGTACAACGATCCTCTAAAACTTCCAAACACCATCTAAGAACATTCCCAGTGAATTTTCATATATACATATAAACCTATAAGTTTAGTTGCAATACATCTCACCGTTGCTTACGCATATAATAATATGATTACAGTAACTAATAATGGCTAGTTAAGTTAAGTTCCTGGGTATAAGTGGCCATAAGGATTAGGAGTAATCCCCACATTCTCCTAACAATACTTAAGTCTTATGCATGCCGCTACATGGAATATTCTTTTTATGATGACTGGGTTAACCAAAAAGCGGATATTTGATTACGCCAGGAATATTCCTGGGAATATTCTGGTACGCTTGGAATAATCCTGGGAATATTTCTGACATATATATGCATATGCAGGGAATGGGATTTTGCGATCTGGGCATGTGTTGTTTTTTGGAACAATGGTTAGATGAATATTTGAGTACCTATATAAAAAGAAACTATTAAAATAAAACGTACAGTTTCAACATTGAAAGCATTAAATGCAATAAACTTGGCTTATAACACAACAGAAAAAATGTTAATAAATACATTTCTTTGTGTTTTATTTTTCATTAACCAAATAGAACCTATCTGAATAATTCCGGATATTTATTTTTATTGGTATCCCTGCTTAAAATACCCTATAGAGACCCTGTTCAAACCGATAGATATTTGTATCGGAATGTATGGTGTTTCTATAGGGTGTATCGGTATGTATAGGACCCATAGTTGCGATTTATGGTTGTTCTATAGGGATATCCACCCTTAATTTATTTGCTATTGGTTTCAATGGGGAAAATACACATAAATGTAGAAATTAGTTTTTCCTCCATAGGACCCCATAGGTTTTAATAAAATTTTGTCAAATGTTTTATGGTATCTCTATAGGGATATCCCTATATATCCTTCATTGAGTTATTTTATATCGGTCTTAATAGGGAAAATGTAAAAGTTATGGTGTGCCTATAGGTAATTTCCTATACATTTTCTATCGGGCCGTATCCGGAAAAAACGGTAGCGCCCGATAGATTATTTTGTATAGGTCTCTATGGGGTATTTTAAGCAGGGATAGCTAAACCTACCCAGTAAGTACCAAACACTCGGCATAGGCGGTTGACCGGCGGTTCGGCTTGCCCCCAGTCGTTCCGCTTATGGCCCGCGTTATGTTAGCCCGGTACCGTTTGGCCATGTTGTAACCAAAGTCGGCCAGAATATGGCATGCCGCTGCAAAATCGTTCGGCTTGCCCTAGCCGGCCCGCTTACGGCCGGAATACGGCCTGCCGCGGCATAAGCAATACATCTCACGGCTGCTTACGCAAGCGAGCTAACTATAAGTAGCGATGGGTTGCAATATTTAGTTGGAAGTGCCCATGGGGAAAAATCGTCTAAAGACGATCGTCTTTAGACGCGAATTCGTCCAATCGTCTTTCAAACGATCGTCTTTCAAACGATCGACTTTGAAACGATTCAATCGGTTGCGTAGGTTAGGCGGTCGGCTGTACAGATGAAATATATATTTGAAATTCTTCTCTATTATAATAAAGAATTTCAAATATACTTTGGAATATTTGGAATTGTCTATTATTCGATGTAGGTAGGTATCGCCTTTAGAATTATTTTTTTAATTAATTTAATTAATAATTATGACAAAATAAAAATATTTTCTCATCAGTTAACTTAAAATTTTAATTAAATTGCGATCGTCTTTTTTCGACTATTATTTTAGACGATCGCCTTTTGTATCGTTTATCACTTTAAACGATCGTCTTTAGGGTCGGCTATTATTTTAGACGATTAAAGACGATCATTTAAATAATTAAACGATTTTGTTTGAAAGTAGACGATCGTCTTCAGACGATCGTCTTTTTTACAAAAGATCGTTTAAAAAATTAAGCGATATCGTTTAAAAATAGACGATCTTCTTCAGACGATCGTCTTTTTTTTAAACGATTTTTTCCCATGGGTGTGCGTCAACATTAATTGTTAGAAGTCCCCATCTCCATCCTCATCTGCTCAGTAACAAAAAATGGCTAGCTGAAGGCTTTTTTTAAATTGCCAGGCTGTTGTGGCCGGCACTCGGCCAACTATACACAGCCGACACTCGGCCGAGTAAACATAGCCGACATTCGGCCAGGCGGACATGCCCGGTCTACACGCCGGCTAGCTTGTGCTTACTGGGTAGTTACCTACCATTTCTCTTTTAAAAGTCTTATTCTTCCAGAAGACTCAAATATTGCTGTTATTCTTACTTACTAAGACTTATTCAGACTTTTTCAGACTTAGTAAGTCTTATTCTGACTTTTTCCAACTTAAGTTAATTAATAAGAATTCAGAGTTTTTGAGAGAAAGTAAGACTCTTATTTTTACTTATTAAAACTTTGTTAGAGAAAAATTTCCACCAGGGTACTTTGTGTACATACAGATCACTTATTAATTACATATTATGTAGCAATTATTAATTATTCCGAGTTTCTAAAACTCTTATTTTTACATAATATGTATATTATTAGAACATAATATGTATATTATTAGAACTTTTTCCCTCAGTTTTCAGAAAAAACGTTCCACAACGGATCCCATTAAAACATTTTTATTTTTGCGAATATTTCGAAACCCGATGTTCAATTGTTTTTCTGTTTTTGCCATTTTAATCAGAAGAAAAAACCACCAATTTGATAATTTAACCGACTCTGTAGCTCCAATAATAACAGATTTAGCAATGGTGAGGAAGATAACTTTGGACACAGTAAAGCATTACGGCTAGCATTCGTTATTCCTATAGGTCCAGCCGGTTAAAGATAAAAGCGTTGTTAACTTTTCTGACCCGAAGAGCCTGGGTATTCCCCACTTTTTCTTGCCATTGCAATTCTTAAAAAGTAAACTTTTTATACAGTTTTAAATTAAATTAAAAATAGTGCATGACTATTTACTGCACATATAAGTATTAAAATCTTTATATTAATTTATAGAGGTACTATTGGCTATGGATGTTGTTGGAATCTGCGGTTCAGATGTCCATTACCTTGTAAATGGCAGAATTGGCCCATTCGTCGTCGAAAAACCTATGGTTATTGGACACGAAGCCGCAGGAACTGTGGTGCAATGTGGAAAGGCAGTTAAACATCTCAAAGTAGGGGACAAAGTAGCCATTGAACCCGGCATTTCTTGCCGCATGTGCTCTTATTGCAAATCTGGTAGTTATCATCTTTGTCCGACTTTGACTTTCTGTGCTACTCCACCAGATGATGGTAACTTGGCCAGATACTATGTTCATGACGCTGATTTTTGTCATAAGTAAGTAATAGTTATTTACGTGTCAAGCTTTGTAAATGAATCTTTACGGGCGAGCTGAAAGTTTGTGGGGTGAGCGACGCAGGAGCGAACCCCATAATACAGTGAGCCTATAGTAAAGATTAATTGCAAAGCGTGACACGTACAAACTTTTATTTTCACCTTTAGATAAAGATTTTCAAATTTAAAATTTTAATTAATATGTCAAATGTGACATTTCATTTCATAAATTGCTTTTCTACAAGCCTGTAAAACTTTACAGGTCTTTTATACAAGCCCGTAAAATATTACAGGTCTGTTCCCATAATGTATCTTTTACTTGGATACAAAAACAACAAAATTAACCTATAAAATGTCATTTACTAAGAAGGTGGAAATAAATAATTTAATGGGTAGGTTGTAAATTCCTCGGAAACATTCGATTATAGCAATATTACAAATATATAAATTTGTTAATGGGTATATATGTTCGGCAATTTTTTTTATGTGTAATAAAAATATTGAGTTATACAAAGAATTATTTTTTTAGATTGCCAAGCAACATGAACTTGGAAGAGGGCGCTCTTATGGAACCCTTGTCCGTAGGAGTACATGCCTGTAAAAGAGCAAATGTCCAGATAGGCTCAGTATGTTTAGTATTAGGAGCCGGTCCTATTGGACTTGTTACTCTTCTTAGTGCCAAAGGAATGGGTGCCTCTAAAGTCATTATCACAGGTTAATATATTCCAAACTTTTAGGTGATCAATTTTATTGTGATTATTTCATTTAAGATATTGTACAGCACAGATTAGATTTGGCAAAACAACTGGGTGCTGACCAGACCATTCTTATTGAGAAAGGCATGACTGACGATCAAATTGTTGCAAAAGTTAAACAATTATTGGGAGAAGAGCCTACTATATCATTTGATTGCACTGGTCAAGAACAATGCGTTAGGGTCGCTATCTGCGTAGGTTTTATTTTTAATTATTCATTAAATCATTAAATATAGTAGTTAATTTTTTAACATAAAGGCTCAGTTTAAAATTTGTTCTATACATATATATATATATATATATATATATATATATTAGGGTGGTCCTTAATAAGGTTATTTTCAAATTTCTTTGCTCCCAGGGGCTCAAATGCTTCCAAATTAATAAAAAAAAATTCCCTGAAAATTTGAGCTCTTAATATTAACTCTAAGATAGTGCGCATTCCAATCTAAGTTTCCTATGGAAATAACATAGGAAAAATTACTTTTGTTGTTTATAATTTTATAACTTGGGAAAGAATAAATTAAAAATTATACACTCACGTGCAAAATAATCGGCCCACACAAATTTTCGATGAATTTCAATCGCAAATAACTTTTTTATTTGATGTCGGATTTAAACGAATATTAAAGAATATTGTAGATAAATTAATGGACAATCGCTCACATTTTAAAAAAATATTAAAAAATAGACGTACGTTTATAATATACAGGTTTAAACAAAAAGATGTTTTTTACCATAAGTTTAAGACACTCTGTAGAGTGGCAAAACCGTATATTGTTTTAAATTAAGTTTTATTTATCAAGTCACATCTATTCTTAACAGTTTTGTTTTTGGTTCACCTCGATATATTTATTTTTGTGGAAAATTTGGATTTTTTTAAAAAACATTGCAATTTCCAATATTTTTCCTGTATGAAGAACTAAGGTTGCTATGGTCCATCCATAGCCTATGGAGAATGACAGTGACAGTTTTGTTGAATCATCCCATACTTGGACATGTCATATACAGCTTTCAAAAGCTATCAAATTGTTTTTTGTAAATTAATGTGTTAATTTTGAGGTGTCTTCTTACTTTTAAAAATGACTCCGACTGATATTGCCCTTTGTACTTTACTTCTTATGACGTTTAAAACACTTGCCACGTAATACTGTGACCGTCCATCCTGGATTAAATTAATAGCTCTGGCAACATCAGTCGGAGACATATCCATTTTATAAAGTAAGAAGACCCCTCAAAATTTAAACATTAATTTGCAAAAAACAATTTGATAGCTTTTAAAAGCCGTGTATGACATGTCCAAGTATGGGATGATTCAACAAAACTGTCACTGTCATTCTCCATAGCCTATGGATGGACCATAGCAACCTTAGTTCTTCATATAGAAAAATATTGGAAGTTGCAATGTTTTTTAAAAAAATCCATATTTTCCACAAAAATAAATATATCGAGGTGAACCAAAAACAAAACTGTTAAGAATAGATGTGACTTGATAAATAAAACTTAATTTAGAACAATATACGGTTTTGCCACTCTACAGAGTGTCTTAAACTTATGGTAAAAAAACATCTTTTTGTTTAAACCTGTATATTATAAACGTACGTCTATTTTTTAGTATTTTTTTAAATGTGAGCGATTGTCCATTAATGTATCTACAATATTCTTTAATATTCGTTTAAATCCGACATCAAATAAAAAAGTTATTTGCGATTGAAATTCATCGAAAATTTGTGTGGGCCGATTATTTTGCACGTGAGTGTATATCATACATATTTTTATATGCTTTACCAAATAATTTTTTTATAAAATTATTTTTTTATATTTTTTTTTGTAAAAAATTTTATAAAATAATTTTTTTATAATTTTTTTTTGTACAAAATTTTATAAAATAATTTTTTTATAAATTTTTTTTGTTGTAAAAAATTTTATATAATAATTTTTTTATAAAATAATTTTTTTATAAAATTATTTTTTTATAAAATAATTTTTTTTAAAAAATAATTTTTTTATAAAATAATTTTTTTTTATAAAATTATTTTTTTATAAAATAATTTTCAATTCGAATCAAAAATTATTTAATAAAAGACGACGGGCGCATTTATAAATTAATTTTTACTGCAGCCATCTCTATTTGTTTGTAGACACTCGAGTAAACCCGAACGTCCCTATAATTTTATAAAAAAGAATTATTTTATAAAAAAATTATTTAAAAAAAAAATTATTTTTAAAAAAAATTATTTTATAAAAAAATTATTTAAAAAAAAAATTATTTTATAAAAAAATTAGGTATTTTATAAAATTTTTTAGAAAAAAAAATTAAAAAAAAAAATTATTTTATAAAAAAATAATTTTATAAAAAAATTATTTGGTAAAGCATATAATTAATTATTTATAAAACAAAATAAGTTTATTTGACACAAACGGCGCCTCATAAAAAAGCCTTGATAATATTAATAATAATATGAAAATTAAACTTTGGCGTTAAATAACTTTTAAACCAATAGACTAATGGAAAAATTATAGGAGACCTTTTTTGTAGAGCGTTAAATTCTCTATAAATGTATGTATGATTCATTCGTTCCCAAGTTATAAAATTATAAACAACAAAAGTAATTTTTCCTATGTTATTTCCATAGGAAACTTAGATTGGAATGCGCACTATCTTAGAGTTAATATTAAGAGCTCAAATTTTCAGGGAATTTTTTTTTATCAATTTGGAAGTATTTGAGCCCCTGGGAGCAAAGAAATTTGAAAATATATTATACCTTATTAAGGACCACCCTAATATATATATATATATATATATATATATATATATATATTTATATGGCATTTTATCATATTTGTTGTTCTATAGGGACACATAAAAAATTCTGATGGGTATAACTATAGTTTTTGAGTTATTAAACAATTAGGTTAAAAAAGAACTTGTCACCAAGCGTGCTAAACTTTTTTTATGTATTATATGATCTATATATATGATATGTATATATGATCTTAAAATAAAATAGCCAAAATTCTACTATTTCAATTAGTACCAGCATTTTTTACTAATAAAATGGTTGTTTTAAATAGTTATTTTTTACTTACTTAAATATTTAAAGTTTGACTAATTTAAGATTAGTCACCACCTTTGACTATTTCTGAGAGTTAAAAGTAACTAATTTCTTTAATCATTTGCGGCCAACAACAAAGTATTATTTGAATTAAATGCAAATACCTAGGCTCCATGGTTAAATGGCCCATAAAAACAAACAAAGATGCAAAAAGTTTAGCTCAAAACAGCAACACAAATAATATATTCAACTTTAAAATATTATGAACAATATTTATTGACAAATAAAATTGATTTTTATAAGAGCGACTGATAGCCAAATGGGTTATGACAACAGCTTGAAAAGCTTGCCAAGCGACAGACCTGAGTTCATTTCCCGGCTGGCCATATCTATTTTTAAATTTAAATCTACTAATTTGACTATTTCATTTATTAGAATTTGACTAATTATTAGTGACTTTTTCGCTATGACAATTAGTCAAATATTACTTATTATTAGTTATTTTTGACTAATTCATTTTAAGAGAGTAGTTCTGCCCAATCGTTTTAATGCGGTTAATTTTTTATTGCATTGTAATTTTTTTTTACCAAGTTTCTCAAACAATTTTAACCCTTAACTACTCGCGCCAATTTTTGTAACATAAGTAGTCGCGCGGTGCACTAAGTGCTCCGCTCCTAAAATGGCTATTTCTGAATGTTTTCAATTTTAATATTACTTTGGTTATATTCGGATGAATAAACTCTATTTCTATTTAAACACAATTGTGTTTATTAATATTTATAAAAAAAACAAAAAGCAAATCACAAAAAATAAAACAAACAAAAAAGTTTACTTCTACTCAGAAAAGAAATCAGAAGAAAATTTAGCCGTTCTTTTTTTATTAGTGAATTCTTATAAAAATGTATACCTTAAAATCCATTATGTTTTAAATTCCATATTTTGTTGATTTAAAAATATTTTACATTACAAAAATTGAAATTTAGTTACGTTTTAGTAAAGTATTTCTAAATTAATCTCAAGCTTTCTGTCCATAACTTTGAAATCAATAGTTTAACTGAATATGCAGTTGACAGTGCATGGTAGACACATCAGTCATAGGTTATATGGAAAGGGCATTTAATTCCAAGAAAACGACAGTTATAGAGGTTTTAATAAAACTCAGTGCACCTGCGCGACCACTTTAACGGTTAAGAACGCTACAGCGTTTTGGAAATCACAAGAATCAAAACGCGTTGATGACCTTGAAGAGAGATCGTCAAGATGGTATTACAGATTTGTCAAGAATTAAGAATGAATCCAACATCTGTACCTAGCATGGTTTCTAGGTTATCTTTAATATTTCCAGGTTATCTTTATTATTTCAATCGTTTAAAAATCGATGAAAAGTACCTACATACTAGAGGCGCGATAATTAAATTTTAAAAATAATTTTATGAACAAAAAATTCGGATTTTTATTTTTGAATATACTTTATTTGTAAAACTTGACACGTCTATTATACTTACCAATATACCAATTATAATATATCACCGTGACGTCACGCTAGCGAGAGAATTAATCAATTTTCAAAGTAATTTTTAAGGAAAAATTTATAATCGTTTTTTTAAGATATGGTTGTTTTTAGTGACTACATACTTCTATTATACGGATTGTATAATAGAAGTTGTTTCACACGATAGAATATTCCAACCCCATCGAATGTACCGTTCCAAAGATATTTAGAAAAATAATATTTATGTAACGTAATAATGGTGCCAAATTTTCCAACTTATGCATATGTAGAGATCGAACGCTGTAAGTTTGATACAGCAACTTCATCGATCGACAACGGTGGGCAATGCATATATCTATAACTGCAGCATCCAATTCAGAAAGATTTCAGTATAAAGTCTTTTAAACAACTTCGTGTAGAAGTTCTAACTTGACGTCTTAAACAGCACCATTTTATGAGCTCAGAATTCTGAGCTGTTAATGAACTCATAAATAAGAAGTCAATTTTTTTACGTACAAATGAATATCTTGATCTTGATCTCTTTTTGAACAATTTATTTTGAGCTTACAGAGTATTCTTTTTTCTTACTTCCAATTGAAATCATACTCTTTTAGAAGTCAACATGGAGACGTCACATTTAAGACAATGCGATTACTTTCTTCTCACAGCTGTAACTACTTGTGTTTGATATAGAGATATAAGAAGCGGCGAAGTAGAATTTAGAGCGTGCTCCATACCAAACGGTCTTAGACCTAGTTAAACGGCTACCCGATACTGACGAGCTCCAAAAGAGCGAAACAGGCCGTCTATCGGTGCCGGTGAAGAGCACGCTTGAATTTAAACAAAAGTGAGACGAAGTAATCGCAATTCCTAAAATAAGCGAATACGAGCAAATTATTAAAATGATTTTAATAAAATTAATTTAACAAATTAATAAAATTAATAAAATAAACTTGACATGTCTAAATAAGCAACGAACCAGTATGCAATTTCTTCATCAGTACCCTAGTAGTACTTCTATATCCAAAACGGAAAATTCTAAAGAAGTCTTTTTATAAGTTTATACAGTAGGACTCTTTAAAATGCTTAATTGCGAAGTCAAAGAAAAGGGTTCCTCAGGAGTTCTTTTTTGAGAAGTCTTGATTAGTTCAATATTCGAAGTCTTAAGAACTTCCTAAAAACTTCTTTCTGATGTTGTATTTGACGTCCAAATCATAAAATAGAGCTTATGCAGACTTAATTAAGACGTCATATTGCTGTCTGGGTGGCTGATGATATTGCGGTTTCAACTGTAGGTACTAATTTTTATCTTCAATCGGTCTATGGCACTTAAAAATAATTTTAAAAAATCGGGTTAGGTTATTTATTGCCTAGGCCATAAAAATTTATTATTTACTACTTTGGACCAATCAAAAAGTTATTCTAAGCCATTTTAAGCATTAAAACTATTTTTATAAAAAAAAATGTAGGTAATTTATTGTTTATTATTTTTAAATAATAATAAAAATAAAAGCCTAATCAAGAAATATTTTTGACAATTTTGATGCGAAAATAATACCTATATAAATAATTACTTAAATTTTTGTTTTATCAAATCAGTTTTGTGATGTGTCTTTGAAATGGTCCTTCTGTCAGATCTTACCTCACTTTCTACTTTTATTAATTGTACGTTTTATGTATCGTTTAATTGTGCCTTAAATATAAAATCTTGTATGTGATTTGGCCAGTAAGTGTCTTTTTGTGCCTTCCGCCTTTAAGCTCAGCACAAATAAACTTACTTCTTGGACTAATGGCTATTGAACTATTCCTGCCGCTTGAGTGTGTTCTTTGTTAAACAAAAATAAGAGCAATTATTTTAACGTTTCAATAATAATCCAACGTCAAACTACAAAATAATTTTAATATTAAGAAAATACGTCACATACAGCTTTTATTATATCCCTACAAATGGCCAAATATTGAGATATAGCAAGAGTTTTATGCTGATTGGCTAAAATTTAGTTTGAAAATACGTCACATACAGCTTTTATTATATTCCTACAAATGGCCAAATATTGAGATATAGCAAGAGTTTTATGCTGATTGGCTAAAATTGAGTTTGATTCTTGGCTTTCTGAGTTTTATTTTTTTAATTTTAATAGTGATTGCAATAAAGAACACCCTGTTCATTTATTAATTTATCCACATATTTTTAGGCTACAAAATCTGGCGGTGTTGTAGTTTTAATTGGAATGGGCAAATTTGAAATGACCATCCCACTTGCTGGAGCTTTGATTAGAGAGGTCGATATCAGAGGAGTTTTCAGATATTGCAACGAGTATTTTATTATTTTATTTTATAAAAACAACATAAATAATACTATATTTTAGCTACCCTACCGCTATTGAAATGGTAAAAACTGGAAGAGTTAATGTAAAACCACTCGTTACTCACCACTTCAAAATCGAGGAAACTGAAGCTGCTTTTGAAATGGCAAAGAGTGGAAAGGGAAATCCAGTTAAAATTTTGATTCATGCCAATCCAAACTGGACACCTTCCAAATAAACAATATATTAGTAGTTTTGGTAACTGTTATTTAAATAAAAAAAATCAAAACTTATAAAAGTAAATTTATTTTTTATTTAAACTTAAATGTGGTGTCCAATTCAAAAATTTAAATTTGCTTACCTTGAGAGCTCCAGAGTGGTAAAATACAGGACGCTGAATAAAATACACCAAAATCAATAAAACAACAAATTTATTATAAAAACGAAATTTTTTAACAATGTTGTAATTATCATAAATATAAAAGTTAGCTGTACATAATATATATTTATTTATTCATTTATGAAGTATACAAAACAATACAAATTTAAAAAAAAAATTCTCCCAGTTACGGCATTAATTGTATGAAATGAAATTGCATGCAATGCACCATCCCCTAAAAATGATTTGAAAATATGTTGCATTTATTATTAAATAAATACCCTATTGAAAATGCAATATAGGTATAACAAAGAAACCAGATAAAACTAAATAAATGCAATATGGGTTCTATAGGACGTTTTCAATAGGATACAATTTTTGGTGTCTTCATAAAAATGTAGTTAACCTTAAAAGCGCATTAATTAACAATATGTTTCTAAATAATTATTATGTAGATCTCTCTGCAGGGGGGCATTCTTCAATTAAGGTGTTGTAGGAACCTACAAAATGATTAAATTTTAATTATTAGTAGGTGGTGGTCATATCAAATCAATCAATGATGGTTGCTGACAAAATTTATCTATTTTTAAATTTTGTACCAGTGGCGCAAAAAATAAAAACTACTCTTTTAACAAAACTTTCCATAATATTTTTTACAGCTAAACATGTAGTGGAAGTAAAGATGTAACATGAAAAAAAACGCGATTTTTTGTTTTTTTTTCAGTTTTTTTTTCATTGTTTTTTCAAATGGTTTTTTTTTCAAGATTAGTCCCATTTGCCTTAATTTGTATTCCATTCCAGTTCAAAGACTAAAATTTAGCCACTAAATGACATTTAGTGAATGTAAATCCAGTCTCACGCTATGCACGCGCCACCACCACCGAATTGACCAATAAGGGCCGCGCTTGTTTTGATTTGGTCTTAAAAAAAGTAACTACCTATAATTAAGGTGACCAACCGTCCTGGGTAGGTTCTGGTTTTTGCTAATGTGTCCTGATTTTAATTGTGTACTGGTTTTGCAGATTTGGCCCTGGTTTATGGTAATTTTTTTATTATTGACATATTAGCAATTTTAAAATGGTCTGTGCTCAGGTTAAAAATTAATTTAAAAATCTAAAACTTTGGAAGTACGTTTAAAAGAGAAAAAAGTAAGAAAAACCCCGTATGAAAATAAAATTATAAAAAATTATGACTTTTTTAGGATTTGATCTATTATTTTTTTAAAAGTGGTTGGTGCCCAGGTTAAAAGTTAATTTACAAATATAAATTTTCGTGATTACCTTTAGAATAGTAAAAAAGTAAGATAAAACCTCGTTTAAATTTAAATAATAAATATTAAATAAATTTCCTGGTTTTTCATTTTAAAAAGTTGGTCACCTTACCTATAATAGACTTAAAGAAGTATTACATTGTTATTGGTATTTTATGTGGAAACTACCAAATTATAAGAAATCAAACTTTTTAGTCTCGGTCAAAATTTTCAATAATATAAAATGTACTTAATATATATATTGTGCGGGTATACCCGCACTTCCCCTACGAAAAGTGGTTAAAAATAATTCATATTTATATGTAGCTCGTCAAGACGCATTTTTCACAGAAGATACCCTGATAGAAATTAACGTTTACCTACATTCAGACAACGTTGGAAATTTGTATAATAATTTGTTATATTCATAACGTGATTTGAGTGCATGATATAAGTGGGAAATACGTAGTTAAAACGTTGGATGAAAACGTTATTTGAATGTATGATTTTAAGTGGGAAACGTTGGGCGAATGTATTGCTAAAAACGTTATTACAAAGTTTCTAACCATACATTCAAATTAATTTAAAATACCTTGATAATTTTTTTATTTTATTGATTTAAAAGTTGTAGTACCTATCTAGTATTTAGAAAATTGTTAGCATACATATAGGGAATATTTTTTCTTTTCAAAATACCTATAGGTATAAGTATACTTCATTGTAAATTTTTTGTGTAAGCTATTTTGTTATGTTTTAATTTGTTTACTGTAAGTATAATATAATACTATTATTTAAATAATAAATTTCTTAAAAAAATCTGGGCTGAGATTTTTACATTTTACCTAGCAATTAAGGTAATTATTACCCCACAAACAATTGTCCGTTGATCGCATGGTGGCCGATGGTCGACAAATGATCTTGCAGACGTTGGCCCGGCGCTGCCCGGCCATCAGGTGGCCGACGGCCAAAAAAAACTATAGATGTTCAGGATAGGTTTAATCCTGACTCAGGATTCCTGTCCTATGAACGTCTCACCTGCAGGTATATTAGGGTGTCCGTTATTTTTTTTCGCAGCGCCCCACACTGGGCTGAAAAGCCCGATTCCGGTCAAAACTAATTTTAACAAAGACCACAAAAGATATTAACTTAAAATTTGGACTACATATTAATGCATATAAGGGCTTTAACATATATATGCAAAATTAACACTTATACTTACAGTAGCGGAAAGGGAAATGGAAAAAATATTTTTTTTACCGCAAATGGCTATAATTTTTTACTTTTACAAATGTGAATTAAAAATAAACTTAATTTATCGTCAAGGGATTTTGCAATAATATATAATTAATTAATTTCTCGATTTTTTTTTTAAAAAGACGATCTGTGCAAAATTTTAGCAAAGCGACCCTCAAACGCCCTGAAGTTAGAACATATTATGCGCAACGACTAATTATGCTAAAAAGCGGTATACTATTTCGACCTTTTTTTTATAGATAAACTTACTTACTTAATTACTTATATTTAATATTGGCGGCATATTTTATTGGATACTATATTTTTAAGAATTCCCAGTACCACTAGACCAGCAATTAAGATGCCACTTTGCCCTTTCCCAGAATATTTTAGTTTTTATCACAACCCATTTTAATGGTGGGTAGATTATTGCAACCAATAAGGGATTTTTAAAATTTTGTGGTACAATTGTAGACAACATAGTGACTTTAGTTGGAACGTGGAACTTGAAATAATACTTTTATATCTGATTCCAACTTTTATTATTAAAAGTTTTTTACAGCAAAATTAACAAACTGTTTTTATTTATTATTTTTTACTATATCAATATTAAAATAAGAACTACTTGATATTTATAAAATACAAAATAAGATTTAATTGTCAAAACCCAACACTCCCCCTCAATTTAACATTTTCGTATTTTTATTATTCTTGAATTCCCATATTCGTACGCAGCTTAACAAATTGAGTCTTCGGAATTGGCTTAGTGAGTATATCAGCCATGGCTGCAGTTGATCTTTAGTGTTGATATATACCACTTTTATTAACTTCTTCTCGTGCAAATCCCGAACAAAATTGTATTTTATGTCGACGTGTTTAAGTCGCTTGTGTTCCCATTTTGAAAGTAGGTGAATACAGGACTGATTATCTTCATAAATTGTAGGTGGAATTTTGCTGCTGATATTGAGGTCAACCAGCAGATTTTTTAACCATGTCAGCTCTGTTGCTGCTGTCGCCAAAGCAATGTATTCAGCTTCTGTACTCGAAAGGGATTGCGCGTCCATTTCTTCTTTTTCAGATTGCATCCATTCCTCCTTGTCTATACGGGTTGCAATATTCTCAAAATTCTTTGGTACATATTCTACGAAACCCAGCAAACACATAAGTCTGGTAATGTAATGGCCCATTACAGCGTTTAATGGTTAAATGATGGCATTTTTAACCCAAGCTGTTCTTGTACTGGGCCTCTACAGGAATTTTTCGTTAATAAATGTCAATTTAGACCAAAGGCTGTCGTGGTTAGGTCTTGCAATGGCCCTTTTCAGGCAATGATATGTATAATTTAACATTAAAGGCCCACATATGGCAATTATAAGTATCAAGTTAATGGAACTGTAACACACCATTACAGTGCCAAATGTTTTCCTTTGCTTTACACCATATTTACTAATGAATTGCCTCATGTTAGTGGTATTATGCATATGCATATGGAAAAATAATATAGGTTTTGAGATATATTAATTAATTATCTAATAGGTGTATTTTATAATTAATTATTAATGAACTAAACAACTAGGTAGTACCTTTTTCAAGTAAGTATTTTTACTGTACAATTTTTACATTAATGTCGTACTATTTAATAACCTAGGAAATAGCTATTTCATGTGACCTATTTTAAAATTTTAAATCTTCTTTTAGCGCACCATGTTTTGAATATTTAACCCTATTTAATTATCTCTATTTAAAACGAAGCTTTTTTCTAGGAAAACTTGCAAATTGGAATCCCATTATAAGACCATTCCTACAGTGCACTGCAGTCGTCAATGATTTAGCAATATAATAGAGATCTCTTATGCATGTGATTTAGCCATATATATATATATTTATATATCCATTGTGCTAAAGACTGGACTAGAGACTGGATTTATCTACTTAATTTGTTTTGGTGTTCAATTTAATTTATTCGATTCCTTAGAAATGGAAACTGTTGAAATTTGATTTTATTATAATATTTGTTAAGTTTTTTTTTATTTAAATATGTTATGTTATAATTATGTTTAAATTACATTTATTTTATAACACATTAAACACTTTGTATTTTTTTAATTTTTTGAAAGTTTTAGGGACATTAATGGAATTACATAATAACGAAATTTTTGTAATATAGTAAAGTACCTACCTATCTATTATGGTGGATTAAATTTGGTAGGTATATTTTTATTAGGTCGGATATTACACGATAATCGGGAATTTTTATCCCTACCGTCAAAAATCGGTCGGGATAAAATATTTCAATTATCATGGAATATCCGTACCTAGTAAATATATCCGACATAATAGGTACTTTACTTATCCATTAAATAATATTTAACTACCCACGATAGAATCTTTAACACCCCATATAAGAACCTTTAGCTTGCCACATTTGTACCTTTAACCTGCCATATCGGAACCTTTACCGGTTCTTGTAAGTGTCTTTATCGACTGCCGTCACATGCCCATAAAAGGTGAACGCGACATAATATGTAGAGGTCCATTAAAGTCAGCCTTTATAGGGCCTTTAGTTTATTAAAGGCACGCATTTAAAGGGCCATTACAAAACCTTTACGGTTGTGTTTGCTGGGAAGTTTCTGCGTGCATTGCCAAAATAGCATAGTCTTCAAGATAGGTTGGCAATCGTTTTTTTCTTTTTGATTTTCGAAATTGTTCTTGTTGTTGGTCTTCTAAAATTTCTGTTCTCTTTGTATTTTCGCGTTCGGAAATTTCTTCATATTCTTGTTATTGGTCTTCTAAAATTTCTG